CCTAGAAATCGAAGCCACCATGAACAAAAAAAATATGAACCCAAATCATCAAAACCCTTGCTTATATGAAATAAAATTCTGAATTCATCACACATTGAACATAATGTTCAAAACTCAAAACACTTGATATCAGCACAAATTACCTTGATTTTGAACGAACTTTGAACAAAATATCCAAACATCATAAAATTATTTAGCATCTATAATATACGTATATGTTTCTTTTCTGACCTTGCTTGTTGATTGGTGAAATCAATCATAATCTGGGGAGACCCATTAGAGGAAGATCATTTTTTTTTTCTCTTTCCAAATAAGCGATTTACGAACTAAAAGACTGAAGATGATCAGTTCTTGATAATGGTTCCTAATAAAGCCATCACAATTGCAACTTACGAAGGCAAAGAATTCTCAAACACTACAAATGTGAAAAAACCCAATTCAAAAAGACGATGTGAAAAGATAAATTATAGAGCAATAACAAAACTAGTGTACCTTGAAATCAAAGGAAGCAATTAAGATTTGATAATCATATGAACAGTTGGTATTTTCGGTATATAATAGTTGTGATAAAGCTTGTTCTAAGTTATGTGTCTAGGGTTTGATCTAAATTATTTTTCTAGTTAAATCCAATGAATAGAGTTTGAATCCAATGAAGGAGAAAGAAGAGAAAAAGAAGAGAGGACAGGCTAGGAGAGTAGAGGAGAGCTATACCTGGATGCCGGAGGGAGAACCGGTCGGTAGTCGTTGCCACTGCTAGAGAAATTCTGTGAGGGTTTATGAGAGCGAAAGAGAGAGAGAGAGAGAGAGAAAGAGAGAAAAAGAGAGAGAGATTGTGAGGGTTTGCGCGAGTGAGAGTGAGAGTGAGAGTGAGAGGAAAGAAGAGGAGATGAGATAAGGGTTACTTGGGTGCTGGAGATCTACCCACATCGGTGTTGTTATCGTTCTGAGAGAGAGAGAGTAAGGACTGGGCACGAAAGAGATAAAGTGAAATTCGGGCAGAGAGGACTGATGTATTTTTTGTTTGATCCGAAGAGAAGTCTGAAAGTTTAGGAATGAGTGGGAAAGAGGGAGGGAGATGGGAAGGAGGGCTTGAAATAAAATTAGGAATTAAGTTTTTGCGACGAGTTTAAGGATGGTTGCGAATGAGAAAAAATAAAACCTTTTGTGATGGACTAACAAAGGGTGTTGCAAAAAAAAAAAAAAAAAATTCGGGTCAATTTTTTTTTTTTTACAAGTAACGTATTGTCGTGTAATATGGATTTTTCATCTCTACTAAGGGTATTTATTCGATACCTTTTTGTGACAGTCAATCGCTGTCGCAAAAAAATTAATTTCACGATGTTTTTTTTTTTTTGGTCGTCGCAAAAGCTTGCTTTTTGTGCTGATTTTCAAACGGTCCCAAAAAGTTCCATGTCTAAAGCCTCATTTTCTAGTAGTGTAGGTAGCCCACGTGAATAGGACAGCCCAAGTGGCCCAAATGATGTGGATTACTTGTGTGGCACTGATGTGGAATATATTTTATTATTATAATTATTTTATGATATTATGTCTAGTTGTCGTTAATAATATATAATTTCTTGGGATATTTTATCATCTTTTTTTCTAGTAAATTCTATATCTTTAGCAACACCGGTATTTAGTAGATTTTGTAAAAAATTACAATGTTGTTGATAGTTTGCTATTAGAACTAGTAATTGATGACGATTTAATAACATATCTTGAACATAAAAGTGGAGATAAAAACTCAAAAAAAAGGAAAAGATTTATTACTTCTTATAGTTTTAAGATGCTTTGATTTTAGGCCCACTATACTTCCAAAATAAGAACTGTATCTATGGAGGGATTTCTTTAACATCATTGCATAATTTTTAGCTTCGTTATGTGCTCTTGAATAGAGTAGTATTTTGGGTTTGATTTTTGTGTGATTTGGACTATAAAAAGGGGGAGGGGGGGTTTGAAGTGGTTTCTTTTGAAATGTCGTTGGAATGGCTTTATCGATGAGAAGTGTGAAAAATATCGAAAATTATTGGATTTCTCTTGAATGGAATTTTTGGAAAGAAACATATATTGTTTTGGAAAAACCTTCAAAATCATTATAAATTATTGGTCTTCAATAAAGATGAGAATGGCGGGGAAATGTTTGAACCCTTGTTGATTTGGATAGTAGAGTTGAACATGTAATATTACTCAAAATTCAAAATCATGAATTTATATCTGTTGTTTGAAATTTATCATTTGAATAGAGATATTTATTTTGGGCTATCGGTGAAGGATACCTTTGATTGTTGTAGAAATTGTATAGGGAATGGGTTAATTAAAACCACTCACTCATGCATATTTCATTTGAACATTGCTTCATACTTATACATTGAAATGGATCATTTTTGAGAAAAATTGGTGAATACTTTAGAGAATATGGTTAAAGGGTGTGGCTGTGGTTATTTTTATGTTGGCTTATGTGTCCTTGGTGAAAGCCCAAAAACCCTTGCAGTTAGGTGCCGATCCTTCCAGTTAGTATAAGTAAAATGGCTTTGGTATTGCTTGTATAGCCAACTAGTATACACGAACCTAGAGATTCCCAGTGTGTGTATCCACTGCCCTGTGTTCTGTTTTGGAAGTAATGGTTTATAAATTGAATTATAAACTTGGCATTGCATTGTTTGCAAGAGAAAATGCATCGTTTTTGTAAATGGCATTCATATGCATTCACCATATGGCTGTGCTAAGCGTCATACAGATTGTTAAATTAATCTTTACTGGACTTTAGCTCACCCTATGTGGAAACCAACTTTTAGGTACTGATGATATGTCTCCGCCAAGGAGTTAGCTTAAGAGGACTGTGCAGCTAAAGGCTTGTTCTATTTTTGTTTGTAGATGTATTTTGTATAAGCCGATGGATTTATTTGTATTGGGCGTCGACCTACTTTTGTTGTAACTAAGCGTTGTCTTGGAAATATGTAGCCATTAGGGTATGGACTTGATTTTCTTTATTTTTGATTTTATGTATATCTTTTACATGCTATAGATTCATAGCTTAGAATCAATAAATGTATCAATGCATGTGACATCATCTTTTGTAACACATCAAAGGAATCAATGAATGAATGACAGTTCTGATAACACATCATGTATTGAATAATTGAATTTTATTAGCTTGCGCACATCTATCAGGTATTACGAGAATATCTATTGTATAAAATTATGGGGCGTTATAGCGTAGATTTGAGAAGTGTGAACATTGCCTTTGACCCTGGTGATTCTCTTTCTCAACTAGGGTTTCGATCTCATCAAACGCCATTCCTCCAACCTATTAGGGCCACAACAACATCAACGTCTCGACTCCTTTCATCTCTGACACTGCTGTGCCAATGGCGCCATAAAACGACGTCGCTCTCAACTAGAACCGGGCCGTCGACATGACTTGTCACAGTAAGTTCTTCATTAATATGGTATGAACTTGAATGGACTAACCCTAGCTTTAGTCCATTCTCGAAGAGAGCTTCAATGGCATTGTCTCTAGATTTAGAATATTTAGCTCTTGTTAAGGCTTTCCATGAAGAGAAGGCAAGGAAAGAAAGTGAGAGAAGTTGGTGTAGAGTGAGTCGCCATGCCAAAACAGGTAGACCTCGTGGCTTTCCAGCTTTTGAGTGAGCTTGTAGCCTCGATTGTCGATGCCAGAAATACAACCGGTGGCTCCGGGGGTCATCATCACGACCACATCTACTTTCTTTGTCTCTCTCTTTCTTTTTCCCTCTCTCTCTAGAGTGGAGGTGGAGACGAAGATAGAAGAGGAACTTTTTCTATCTTTGATTTTGATTTGGTGAAATAAAGAGTCTGCTAGGCCCCAATTATTAATTGTTTGCTATTTGGCCTGTTTTTTACTCTGATTAATTAGTTAATAATCAGAGTAAAATATTGGTTATATTTTGGTATCTTTCTCTCTCTATATGTTGTGTTGTTTTTGCCTTTTTTTTAGATTTTCTATAATCTCTAACACATGTTATTTATCATTGTATAACCTCATTGTACCTTAAAGTAACCAGTATTGAAGCTCTGTTTGGTAAGAGGAGAGAGTCTAGTGTAATGGGAGAAGAGAGAGAAGAGAAATGGAAAATAGTCTCTGTGTTTGTTTGATTTGAATAGATGAAAGAAAAATTGAACACATAAGTATAGGGAAAATAAAAGAGAGCAAACTCTCATATCTGTTCAAAAAAGTGAACAGATAGAATTTTATTTGGACAAATATTTAACTAGATAAGGGAAATTTAAATTGATAATATTAAAAAATTGATCAAAAAAGGTGAAAAAATTTGAACAGATTGGAATTTTTTTTGAAAAGATAGGAAAAGAAATTTGAACAGATAGTCAACAAAAGTCAACAGATAAATTAAGTGCTAAAATTGAAAACAAAATGTTCTTCAAAATAAACAAAAAGACTTCTCACCAAATTATTTCACAAATGGTGGACCTTTCACTAACAAAAAATATCCACTGGACCTAATCTCTTATATCCTCCTTAGCTTGGACTTTTTAATAATTATCTCATGAGAAAACTGTGATTACTGAAAGAAAGAAAATGACATAGGTTTCCTTACTTCACACATACACACACAAAAAATAAAAATATAATAGCAAATCTAACCCATTATATCTCTAGCATCTCTAGCTTACTCCTTTGGTGACATAACCCACTACAAGAAAAATGAGATTTAACGACGTTCATTTAACGACGTTTTTTTAAACGTCATCTTTTTTAATATTTTATCACGTTTGATAAGCGCCACATTTTTTTAAAAACAAAACGATACCGTTTTTATAAGAGAGGGCGTGTTAAAGCGCCTCCAAATGTCCAACTCTCCCACGCGCAAATGTACAACTTTCCCACGCGCGCGCGCTCTCTCTCTCTCTCTCTCTCTCTAAATGTCTTATTTTGGGTCAAGGACCCAAAACACTCGCTTACTCTCTCACTCACTCTCTGGATCGATCTCACTCTCACTCTCTCTCTCTCACAACCCTCTCTAAACCCTAATCTCTCTCAACCGATCGAATCAACCTTCTTCAGCCCCGTTTGATCCAATCTCAGAGCGATTGGTGATTTATCTCAGATCCAATCTCAGAGCGGTTGGGGATTCATCTCAGATCCAATCTCTGAGCGATTGACGATTTCGATTTTGATTTCGAAGTTCTCTCTCTCTCTCTCGATTTCGAAGCGCCACCGCCGCCACCATCTGCACCGGCGAGGGGAGCGAACACCATCGTCTACTAAGGTGAGCATCACCTGATTCCCGCATTAGGGCTATGGCGATGCATTGATTGAAGCCTCGATCATCATCGCTTTTACATTTATTGGTAATTATTCCCAAAATATTTAAAAATAATAATTTATTTTCTATATTTTTAGTGTTGTGTTTGGGTTTACAATCAGTGTTTTGAAGGAGTTGTAGTGATAGACAAATTTTCTTCTAAAAATCTGGTTCATTTTCAGCATTTTCATTATGAAAGGACAATGTTGATTTGGTTGTTGATTTTCGTTTGTGCAGAGAAGGATCAAGAATTGGGGGAAGCCTTAGAGAGAAGGCAGTTGAAGAGTTTCTGTTCTATATGTATTCTCTCTTCTGTTTAATTGCCATTCTATATATTTTTTTAATATAAATAAATGCTAGTCTCAATTCATCTGAATTGGTCAACTCTATATAACTTACAATTAATCAGATTTGTATTTTCCAGCAGTGTTAGGAGAGTGAGCGTGACAAGCATGTATGAAGAGCATTCAGTGGCTTGTTGATGAATAAAAGGCATTTCTTACAAAGAAAACAGGGCATGCATTTTCCCATTTGGGGGGTATTTTGCTGGTTTAGATAAATAGAAAAATAAGTATTGTAGTGTGGTGCAAAATGTGCAAGATAAATATAATTTAGATGATGCTAGTGACGTATGGGTGATGACGAAATATGCTGTGCTATTAGATTTTGTTTTTGTAATGCTTCAAACACTACATATGGCTGAGGTTGTTAGAATTGTATTGCATTTTTTGGCTCTCTTTATTCTGATTGTGTTCTATTATAAATTATAATTGGCAGCTTTTACTTTTTCACAACAGAAAAGATATTACCAGTTGTCCGAAAACAGCATTTATTGCATTGCACACTGCTTATATGCAATGCTGCTGCTGCCATGGAGGTTCATATATTATGACATGTTGAAACAAGCTATTTTTAATAACATGTATCGTGAAGTACTTGATGTTTTTAGATGTTCTTTTTGTCAGACACTTCCCATATTTCTGGATAGTCTGGTCACTTCAAACTCCATTGCAAAGAGCTTCTTTTTCCTTCTGTTTTATCTTGTGACTTGATAGTCTTCTGATTACCTGTAAACAGGCTGGAAAAGGTGGAGAACTCACACATGATGAGACAACAATTATTGCTGGAGCACTTGGGCTTACTGAGAAAACAGCCAGTGATGCCATGACTCCCATATCTGACACTTTTGCTGTTGATATCAATGCCAAGCTTGACAGGTGTTGCATGCTTTGGAAAACTTTTGAATAGAAGGTTTACTTGAAGTCTTTTTTAACTTTGTTCTGATCATATATATGATGATGCTTGATATCTATGTATTTTGTCTTCATGATTTGTCGTTAGCTACAACTCAAGGTTTTGTACTGATGCTCCATTTTCCTTTCCCAATCAATTACATTTGTAGGGATCACTACAAGAAAAATAAGATTTAACGACGTTCATTTAACGACGTTTTTTTAAACGTCATCTTTTTTAATATTTTATCACGTTTGATAAGCGCCACATTTTTTTAAAAATAAAACGATACCGTTTTTAGAAGAGAGGGCGTGTTAAAGCGCCTCCAAATGTCCAACTCTCCCACGCGCAAATGTACAACTTTCCCACGCGCGCGCGCTCTCTCTCTCTCTCA